CAATACGTCTCGCCACGAACGTGCAACGTCACACCACAAGGAAATGGCTTCCCCTTTGCACTGTAGAGTTTCAGCTGGCAACGGCATATGGCACGGTGGATTGTGTTCACTGACAATGCTTTCTGGAAGTATTCCTGAGCCCATTCTGTTATTTCCTTGACAGTGGCATTCCTGTTTGAGGTGCTGTGACGTTTAAGGGCCCAGAGATCACGAGCATCCAGTAGAGTTTTACGGCCTTGACCCTTACGCACAGCGATTGTTCCAGATTTTCTGAATATTTTGATGATGTTATGCACAGTTGATGATGATAACTTAAAAGTCTTTGCTATTTTACACTGGGTAACACCATTCTGGTATTGCTGCACTATCTTTCTGCGCAACAATGGTGGAATTGGTGATCCTCTTACCACCTTGGCTTCTGAGAGACACTGACACTCCGAGAAGCTCTTTTTATACCCAATCATGTTGTCAATTGACCTAATTAGTGTTAATTGGTCTTCCAACTGTTCGTTATATGCTCAATTTCCTTTTTCCAGCCACTTATTGCTACTTGTCCCAACTTTTTGGGGATTTGTTGACACTGAAATTTTGAATCAACATATTTTTCCATTAAAATTTTACATTTACTCAGATTAAACTTTTGATCTGTCATCTATGTTATATTACGAATAAAATATTGACATTTGCCATCTCCACATCATTGCATTCAGTTTTTATTCACAATTTGTTTAGTGTCCCAACTTTTTTGGAATCCGGTTTGTAGATATGTCAATCTCATTTGTCATAACATTATACCGTAACATTCATATATTTATTTTTTGTTTACTAGATTGTTCAAATAACATTCATATCAAGTTAGATAATTTCTCCTCCCCATTAATCATTTCAAATGTTTTCTCTAATATGGACTTGTTTTCCCCATCTTAAATCATCCTTCTGCCTTTAAGGGACTCTCATAAGAAATGTTTTATACCACCAGTGTATTTTTATTTAATGTTTTTCAGTCTACACCTTAGATTTATCACTGTTTGTCTTTTAAGTTTAATACTTTTGTTAAATAACTAATATATAAAGAGTGTTCTCTGTCAAGGACACTTAACTTTTATAGAAATATGACATAACGACACAATAATCCACACATGTTACCGTAGTAAATGAAAAACATCTTTGACCTGTCACATTATCTTCAGAGAGAAGGTCTTTGTGTGTTTATCTACTCACATCAACTTGAGTGCGGAGATTTATGTTTTCTGTCTGGGCTCCTAGGTTGAGCTGTACCTGTTGGTCTTTAAAAGTTATTTAAATAAAATCATGTTAATATTGAAAAATCACCAATTTTATGCCTGATGTTTGATGAAATTCTTCCACCTTAGGTTTTTATAAGTCTGTGTCAATTTGCTGTTATGAAGTGACCTTCTAGTGATGACTGCTAAATTTAGCAGTTTTCAATCTTATCAATATCTGTAAAGTAACCCATAGCAGTCATACATTAACAAACGTAAACTATCATTAATACAGCAGACACTCACATTCTAACATCAATCATGCAACAAATATACATGACTTACAATGTTATATTTCCCTATTCCTGCCTAACTAAGTTCTTGTCTGTCCCTCAACTTACAAAAAACATATTTCCCTCACTGCCTATTCTAAAAATCTATCTGTCCCTCAACTTTAATGAATCCATATCCTCATCTGCAAAACTCCAGTCCAGCATAAAACGTTGTACTCTCTTTTGACCATGAAAATAATCTCTATCTGTCCCTCTCTGCCTGTTCTAAAGATTTCTAATTATCCCTATTTTAACCATCCATGTATTCTTATTTTAGGTACCTCTTCTAGATATTTTCTAGGGATCGTTCTACTTCTAGATTCTTTCTAGGGATCATTCTATAAATTGGTGTACTTTAAAGATTCTGCCGTTCCAGCTAGCGCAGCCCTGACTGAAAATAGACGAGAATAAAAATGTATATTAAAATATATTAAAAAACAGTTACGTTGCTCGGGGATTCACAGCTGGCCAGTCTGTATTTCTTTGCTACAGACCTAAGTATACTTTCATAAACAGAACCCTGAGGTCATCACTTTTTTCGAGGAGGTAGCAATTTCTCCCCACAGGCACCCAAAACCCTGTAGAGTTTCTTCGAACTGTCACATGAACACACCACTTGACGCTGTCCAGATGTCCAAGTTTTAACGCGTTTCTAATAAACAGCAACGGGGAATTACACCCGGAATGTCTTTCGGACTAAGTACATTTTCTCGTAAATATTCTAACGTCAGCAAAAATGACGCCACAATTTTTACGTGGTGCTTTAAACCGTCAGCCATGTCGTATCCTCTGTATTTCTTCAATAAATAAACGACAATTTATATACGCACATTTAAATCAACTGAACGAAGCACAAATTTTAAAGAAAAATTAACGTTTCACTTGTTTATGACGCTCGCGGACCACTTCCGGTTAGCATCGTTGCTAACGCTTCCGGCTCGCTCCCCGCGCACCCAGGCGACAATATGTTACGTATATAAATTGTTACGTCCAATAAATACACTCAAAATCACGTATTAAACTGTAATGTTCTACTGCCTTTTAGCTCACTAAACTGCGTGCACCGGACCGAAAACAAAGCAGCCTGACCGTCCTTATGGGACACGCAGAAATTCAATTTAACAGGTTTCTGCTTACCTTATGAGATGATAATAGCCGGCTTGTTCAGTCTGCTCAGACTCGGTCACCTACCACTGTTTCACCATTAAAACCATACGAGCCAAGCAGCTACCACTTCTACAGTCGAGAGACTAGGTCCTCAGCACCAACTGTTAAAGACGTGAGCTGGCTGCAGGCCACCAGAACTGGAAACCCCCTCCAGCCCACGTCTTTACCCCCGGCTCGAACCTCCCTCAGAAGTGGCAACTATACTAATCAATAAATCAAGGAAACGTCAATTAAGTTTTATCAATTATATTAGAAAAGGCAGGAAAAGATTACAATCTACAGCGCTGGACTCTCCGGACTGTGATGCGTTCACAGACCCGGAAGAGCCTCGAAGTCCCGTGTCATTACTAATTTATAGGGTCCTAAGATTCTGCCTTCGCAGAAGGGGAGCTCAACCTATCCGTGTGTTAGGGGGCGTGACTAAGTGTGATCTTATGTGGACTGACGTGTTGGGAAAATATGAGACTGTGCTTCAAAGCCTTTCAATGTGATGTGGCAAGCAGATCAAACTGTATTCCTTGGCTGATATTGAAATCCCAGGGAGACTCTGTTTAGAGTTTGCTGGCCCAGTTTAACACAGTCAGAACCGGGTCATAATTTCATTATAATTCCATCTCTGAGCAGATCAAAACCATAGGACCAGTCTAGATTAAAAAATACCTTAACAACTCCCCCTGGGCGGGGGTCCCCGAAGGGGTTCCCCCACATAAAAACTCCCAGTTCAATACTGCCAGATAAGCAAGCAATTAATCACTTTCCTCTGGTTGAATGTGAACTACTTCTTATATGTTGGCGGGAGATGCCTACAGGCTATAGCGTGACCTGGCAGCCTCAGGTCAAAATAAGATGCCAGAGCTGACGGCTAGTGTGTGACCTGCCAGCCTCAGGTCGCCTGACCCAGCCCTGGACATCTGCCCAGGAATTCAGCATCCCCCTGGTGTGGTGCAATGACATAATGAAAATTTCTAACATTAGTCTACGGCTGAGCTCTAAATATATGATTTAATAATTGTAGGAGGCGTCCTAGTGCAAGAAAGCGTTCTTATCTAATATGTTAATCAGTTGTAAACCCTGAACTTCTCTTTTGACTCCAAGGGCAGGCGTGGTCCATCGTGTCCATATGAAAAAGAAAAAAAGAAAAAACTCTGTGCCCCCTTCCCATTCAGTCATGTAATACCCAATTAATTGCACAGAGTGCTGCCGGTATGTTTAGCCTGTCACAGCTGAAAAAAGGTGTCTGTGTGAATAAAATCTGAATTAAACATTTAACATGTTTTAACGTGCATATGTATAACAGAACCTCCCAACTCCCCGCAAGGTCAGGTCTGGACAATACTGGCTTGAGCTTAGCTACCTGTCTGAGTTGGAAGAACTTTTCTGCAGAACAGAGTTGATTTGTTTGTCAAACTTGAAGTCAGAGTCTAAAACCATCCCGAGATTTTTACCAGACTGCTTAAGATATGGCTGAAGAGAGTCCAGGTTGACAGTGTAGGATTAACAGTCCGCAGATCGTTTAATTTTTATGAGTAATTTTATTTTGAAGGGGCACCACTGGCTTCCAGTTCTAAAGCCAGAAAATTAATATTATTAAATCAGACTCAAGTTTAATGGTCTAGTGAATTATTTTCATATTAAATTCAAAAATGTCATATATATTAAAACTTTTTGAGTGAAAGTACAATTTTGTGAGATTTATTATCAATTTTGGTGAATATAAGTGATCAAACAGTAAATACAGCTGCAGAATGAATGATGGCTTACTTTGACAAATAAATTGACAAATTGATAAATGTGAAGCTAATTATAACAAAGTCCATGCTCAATAATCCAGGTATAAAATCCAACAATTTTTCAGTCATGTCATCTGGACAGTTTCTTTTCTTGTGCTGAAACGTTTCGCCTTCAATCCGGAAGGCTTCATCAGTCAAGGAAACGCACAACAAAACTGATTCTTCCTCCAACAGCTTACTCCAAAGTGGAACAAACCAGTTCTGCTTGTGATTAGATGGTCTCTTTGGTACGCCCCTCCTCCATTGCTGGCCCTCTTCCTTGTTGTCAGTCTTGTCAAACTGGTTGAAAACAACAAAGTCCATGCTCAATAATCCAGGTATAAAATCCAAGCTAAAGCTTTAGCTGAAGCTAATTATGTTTCTGCCTTTAGCATGTCTTACAAGTTATACAGCATTGTGAAAAGACTCCTTCCAAAAGAAGAGTTTAGTTCCTACTGGGTTCTTCGTATTTGTGTCTAGTGTAGTTGCAATATTTCCTTCCTCTACAGGGTATTTCCTGCCCACAAACAGCAGGTCACTGCAACGGTCTTTTCAAGGCTGCATGCAGATGATCCACATCGATGACCAACTGGTGGACCTACGAGCTGTGGAACAGGGTTTCTTTGGAACATTTGAGAACGTCAGCCTCGATATGTGTGCAATCATAGACAGGTATGTCTAACAAGTTAAAACAGAGTTCTAGAGCCTTACAGAAACTGTTGTGGGTTGCAAAAGTTCACATAACTGACCTGCTGCTTCATGTTATGGCAGATGTGTTCCTAACCACTGTGAGCATGGCGGTCGGTGCTCCCAGACGTGGGATACATTCAGCTGCAACTGTGGTGACTCTGGTTACACTGGAGCCACCTGCCATACCTGTGAGTGTCTGCACACATTCATCCTTCCAGCACTAGCTGGCAAACAGCCTCCAAAATGTCGGGAAACATTCAGTTTCGTTGGATGATTTGCAGAGGCTCACAGTTTGTCTCTTGAAGTTGGTAATTTTCAAAATTGTTAAATGTGTGAAAACGGTTCTCACAGAATAGTCGCAGGAATCTTCAACCTGTTTCAAGAGCACTACTGTAGAGCTGTTATTTGACACCTGCACTCCCCACTGAAAATAATACATCTAAAAAAGATACAAATGATAAACAATATCTTGCAAAAATGCATTTCCTGCAACAAATACAATGCTAATTCTTAGTGCTGTTTGACAGTTGAAATTTGATGAAAAAACTAATGCTGAGATTGTAAAGATATAACAAGTAGAACATAGGTTTGAATTAGCTAATTACAAGCTGAAATGGGCAGAGCACATGATACAATATGCAAAACAGGCTAAAATAGGCATAATGTAAGAAATTGAGCAAAATAGATGTTGAAATGAGCAGAACAGATGTGAAAATAATAAAACACAGGCTGAAATCAGCATAACATAAAAAGTGGAGCATAACACAAGTTGAAATGGACAGAACATGTTATGTTGTTTATTTGTCATATGCAGGTTAACACAGAGTCAACAATTCAATGAAACGTTCAGGATGAGAATAACCGATTTGGCTCGCTAAAAACTCAAGAAATACAAAAGCATGCGATAAAAGTACAAAATAAATTACCAAAAAGTGATAAAGAAATAGAATATTTAACAAGGTCCAAAAGAAAAATGGTAAACAACAACATGGTGGAATATAACTGTGCAAGCAGGATGAATTAGTATAAATAAGTATTTCACAGAAAGTAATATAAGCATGCACGATATATATATATATATATATATATATATATATATATATATATATATATCACATTTCGGTTCAGTTTCAAGGAGGGCTCGGTTCAGTTAATTTTCGGTACAAAAAAGGCCAAAATAAAGACTTACAAAACGTTTATTTTGAAAGTGTGCCAAGTAAAAAATACATTTGCATAAAAATAAACAAAACGTTTCCCTGAAGATGTAGACTCAGCTGCTCAGCTCTCGATGACATCCTGCAAACACAAAGAGTTTTAAAAATTTAGTTAATAAGATTATAATTTTAAATTTAAAAAGTTAATTATATCACAATAATACAATAACATTACCTCTTCTTGCATGGTCATTATTTCTGTTCTGAGATGGTTGAATCTCTCGCTCATCGATGTGGCAGGGCTTTAAATCTGGGCTCCAGGGCTTGTTGACATCCTCAGACTGCACACACACAAAGAGATTTAAAAAAATTAGTTAACAAGATTATAATTTTAAATTTAAAAAGTTAATTAGATAATAATAATATAACAATACCTCTTCTTGCACGGTCATCATTTTTGATATGAGGTGGTTGAATATTCTCTTGCTTATCATTGATGTGTCAGAGTTTTAAATCTGGGCTCCAAGGCTTGTTGACAATCAGTTTTAGCTTTTTCAGAAAGTGCTGGTACAACTTTTTGGCTGAAGTGATGACGTGATGGGATGTTGTAGGCAGCGGGGCTCAAGAACTTTAATCTTATGCTTAAAGCCGGCGCATTCAACAATGTAGATCCATAGCTTTCAAAACACCTACAGCTAATTTTATTGCTTTGGACCAATCTGAATGACCTGATAAAGGCTGTTTAAATGCTGCTGTTATCGGCCTTGGCATCAAGCCGAGACGTTCACCTTCGGATGATGTCGTTTCAGGTGCATTAACAAGTTAGATGTGTTGCCTGCTGCAGATCCAATCTCTGTGAAACAACGTTGACACACAACTTTGGATTTGTCCACTTGTCTTTTAACAAGAAAGCCATAATGTTCCCGAACAGGAGACTGCAACGAGATGAAAGGGTTTGTTCGTTGCCTGCTAGGCTGCTCATGTTACACGTGATGTAAGACTGCAACAATAAATAGCACCGTGCTGAAACATGCTTCAGAACTTTAGTTCCGCGGCGCATAATTCAAATTCAAATTCAAAAATACTTTATTAATCCCAAAGGGAAATTATTTGTTGTTGTAACTCGTTATCCTCATTTCATTAAGAAATGTTATAGATGCTGATCAATCAATCAACCTTTATTTATACAGATAAATCCCATTGAGCCTCGAGGACTCATTTACAAGAGAGACCTGATTTCAACAAAGAAAGATGACAACAATGGACAACAGCAACAACAAAACAGTTATAAAAAAGCATACTACAGTTTTTTTTTTTTTTTTTTACAAATAGGATGGCTAAAAGGAAAAGGTAACAAAACAAAAAACAACTAGATTCCAAGACAAATGCAGAAAACTAAAAACAGGAACATGTCAGCATTGGTCCCTGCCAGGTGTCCAACAGATTCTTAAAGACACTTAGAGAGGTCAAGGTCGAGAGCTTCAAATCTTTTTGTAAGATATTCCAGGAAACAGGAGCGGAGTAGGAGAAGGCCCTTTTGCCTAGTTCAGTCCTCATTGAGGGAACACTGCATGTAATAATGTCCTGAGAGCGCACTCCGTAACTGCACTCACGCAGAGACATGTAGGAGGAGATGTATGAAGGCAACAGACCAAGAAGTGATTTAAAGATGAAAATGTACCAGTGAGAGAGTGTGCGTGAAGTTAATGATGTCCAGTTAACCAGTGAATACAGTGTGCAGTGGTGGGTACGATAATCACAGCCAGTTATGAATCTTAGTGCACCATGATAGACAGCATCCAACATCTGCAAGGTTCTTGTAGGAGCGTTCATGTAAATAATATCACCATAATCAATTGAGGGAAGGAAAGTCACAGATACAAGGCGTTTTCTAGCATTCAGGGTTAGACAGGATCTGTTTCTGAAAAAGAAACCCAGTTTAACTTTCAGTTTCTTTACCAAGTTTTCCACATGGAGCTTAAAAGAGAGATGTGAGCCGACCAAGATACCCAAATATTTATAGGAATCAACAAACTCAATGGGGACACTATTTGAGGATAAAATCGGAGGAAGAACTGCTGGGACCAACTTCCTATTTGAAAAAAGCATCCCTTTGGTTTTGTCGGCATTTAGGACAAGTTTGAGGCGAAACAAATCAGTCTGGATGATGTTGAATGCAGATTTCAAAAGCTGGAAAGCCTTAGCAACAGTTTTAGCTCGACAATAAACAACTGTGTCGTCAGCATAGAAATGTATGGATGCATTAGGGATGTTTTTACCTACATTATGCATGTAGATTGTAAAGAGGGTGGGTCCTAAGACTGAGCCTTGTGGTACACCATTGTTGACTGTTAAATAACTGGAGGAAGTACCATTATGTTGAACACATTGCCTCCGGTCTGAAAGATAGTTAGAGAACCAACCAATAGTGTGTTCTGAGAAACCAATTTCTGAGAGTTTATGACACAAGATCCACAGTGTCAAAAGCTTTAGACAGGTCTAAGAAAAGTGCAGCACAGTAATCCTTAGCATCCAGTGCTTCAACATCATTAAGAACCTTCAGTGAAGCAGTGGTTGTGCTGTGTTGTTTCCTGAAACCAGATTGATGTGGAGGTAAGATG